TCATGGGGTATAAATGAAGGAGTTATATTCTACAATCTCCCTAATATTGGCTTGGGGTATAAATGAAGGAGTTATATTCTACAATCTCCCTAATGTTGGCTTGGGGTATAAATGAAGGAGTTATATTCTACAATCTCCCTAATAATGGATTGGGGTATAAATGAAGGAGTTATATTCTACAATCTCCCTAATAATGGCCTGGGGTATAAATGAAGGAGTTATATTCTACAATCTTCCTAATACTGGCTTAGGGTATAAATGAAGGAGTTATATTCTACAATCTCCCTAATAATGGCTTGGGGTATAAATGAGGAGTTATATTCTACAATCTCCCTAATATTGGCTTGGGGTATAAATGAAGGAGTTATATTCTACAATCTCCCTAATAATGGATTGGGGTATAAATGAAGGAGTTATATTCTACAATCTCCCTAATAATGGCCTGGGGTATAAATGAAGGAGTTATATTCTACAATCTTCCTAATACTGGCTTAGGGTATAAATGAAGGAGTTATATTCTACAATCTGCCTTAATATTGGCGTGGGGTATAAATGAAGGAGTTATATTCTACAATCTCCCTAATACTGGCTTGGAGTATAAATGAAGGAGTTATATTCTACAATCTCCCTAATATTGGCTTGGGGTATAAGAAGGAGTTATATTCTACAATCTCCCTAATATTGGCGTGGGGTATAAATGAAGGAGTTATATTCTACAATCTCCCTATTACTGGCTTGGGGTATAAATGAAGGAGTTATATTCTACAATCTCCCTAATATTGGCTTGTGGTATAAATGAAGGAGTTATATTCTACAATATCCCTAATACTGGCTTGGGGTATAAATGAAGGAGTTATATTCTACAATCTCCCTAATAATGGCTTGGGGTATGAATGAAGGAGTTATATTCTTCAATCTCCCTAATAATGGCTTGGGGTATAAATGAAGGAGTTATATTCTACAATCTCCCTAATATTGGCTTGGAGTATAAATGAAGAAGTTATATTCTACAATTTGCCCTAATATTGGCTTGGAGTATAAATGAAAGAGGTATATTCTACAATCTCCCTAATATTGGCTTGGAGTATAAATGAAGGAGTTATATTCTACAATTTGCCCTAATATTGGCTTGGAGTATAAATGAAAGAGTTATATTCTACAATCTCCCTAATATTGGCTTGGAGTATAAATGAAGGAGTTATATTCTACAATCTCCCTAATATTGGCTTGGGGTATAAATGAAGGAGTTATATTCTACAATCTCCCTAATACTGGCTTGGGGTATAAATGAAGGAGTTATATTCTACAATCTCCCTAATATTGGCTTGGGGTATAAATGAAGGAGTTATATTCTACAATCTTCCTAATATTGGCTTGGGGTATAAATGAAGAGTCGGATTTGTAACTTACTAGAGAGTATGTTAGCTTTCAAAACCACTATACACCATAAATGCAAACTATACTCTTGTGGTGAAATGTATGATAAATTGTTTGCTGACAATGTTATCAACAATAAAAAAAAGTTAAAAAAAAAATCAATCGATTTTAGCAACTGATGTTTGGTCATTTGTACATTTTCTACAAGCTCACTCTTTAAAGCATTTCTGTTTTGGATGAAATTGTTTCTCATTTTTTCTGTTGGTTATGTAGTTTGTTCATTATTTATCATATGTTAAATCAGTTAACATTTTTTTTAATGGCTAAAGATTGATATTGAAATGACAATAATTTTCCCACCCGAAATTCAACTCAAATATTTTCACATTTTGTAAAATTATCACTAAATTTTATCATCTATTCGGATCATACAAACAATTTCAGATATTGCTTTTAGATTTTGATCAAACATTTTGTCAGTTTTTAACATTTCAAGCGAGGAGGAGCGACTATAAAAAGTTATTTTGAAGGTGATACCAACAAATTGACAATGGCGCTCAAAGAGTTGACATTTGATTCTTTTCATCCATTTTGTCCAAGAAGTATAGTGTTTGTAAAGGGCACAGCATATTAATGGTTTATTTATTTCTAATATTGACAGAGACCCATTGTTGAATTCTCTCTGGAAAACAAACTTGCATTACAAGTAAAAGAAAGAAGAAAACAGAAAGTATCGGTAAGTGAAATGTTTCATTTTATAGGGGTGTGGTCAACAACAGGGTCTAACAGATTAGGTAATTATCCTTTAGATGTCTCTCCCAACTCAGGTGTTATTGTTAATTTCACAGTCTTGGCTTAAACTAAAGATGAATGAATCAAATTAAGCCATTTTATTTTTATAGCCTATTTTGAAATTGTCAAATTGGGAGGAGATAAAGTCACAAAATTGATAAATAAATTGAAATATACTACTTGTTGTTTGTTACAGTGGATAGCATATGCACAAAATATTATTTCCACTTGTCTCATTTCCTCATTTTTTTATAGGCAAAGTTAAATGAGGAAGGTGCTTCCGGCAAAAAGCCAATGATTACAAAAACCAAGTTTGAAACAGCAGCAAAAATAATGGATGGAACTAAAGAGAAAGTTAGGAAAGGCATGCCATCACATATGGGACCCAAAGTTAGATGGAGAGATCGAAAAAACAAATTACCAGTTGCTAAAAAACCAAAGGATAAAATGAGCAGAGAAAAATCAAGAGGAATGAAGATGAACAGTGATGCCAGAGTTGTACAACCAATGAAGGTGAGTACAAATTGTATCAGTTGTTGTGTAGTTTCCATAATCAGTTTGTTTGTTCAAACCTCTAAGTTAAGATTAAACACCAAAAAGGGTTCAACTTGTACGCTTGGTGAGTGTACCAATGATGTATTCAGGTGTCCAAAACCAGTTTCATTCACACAAGGTTGTCACTTTCGGGGAAACAGGTGCTTGTGTCTGACCTAGTCCGGTTAATGCCAGGATACAAAATTAAATTGCCATATGGCATATGTAGACTATACTATAATGTGCAAAATTGACAGTTAATGTCAGAAACTTTGCACAATTTAAAAAAAACTTACTGTTTAAAAAGTCACAGGTCATTCAATCACAGCTCATTTTTTCTTTGTTTTTCAGGTTAAAACGAAAAAGAAATCTGGAAAACGAAAAGGAGCACCAGGAGATGACTTTGATAGAATGGTGCAAAACTATCAAAAGAGCAAACTTTCAAGAACGAGACAGACGAAGAAAGTTAAGAAAACAAAATCGAAATGGTTTGAGTGACAGACATTTCATTTCGCCAATGGTGGAGTTTTCTAATTTAATATGATCATGCTGTGACATATTTTTACTTTATCTGTCAATTAGAATTCATTACTCAACAAACAATAACATGTTTTAAATTTGATTTATTAAAAAAATACAGTTACAATAAAATGTTGTGTAAATAATCAATGTATTTTACACATGCACGTTGCATGGGCACCACATAGAATGTGGGGTTGAAATTAAAATGAAAAATTCCTAAATATCTGCACATATTTATCTGTATCTAAATTGAATAAACATGATATTGTCACATGATATGGTCACATGATTTTTATTTTCTCCCCATTGTTCCAAGTCCTGATTTTACAGTTGTGCACAGCATTGTATTCAATCATGCGAAAAGAAAATTATCACCTGGTCACCATGACAATAGTCGAGTTCCGGGCTTTCCAGTTGCCAAGTTACCATCATGATAGTGATGACCTCTGAATCAGAGAATAGGGAGAGTTCTGCTGGTGTCAGTGCTTCAGGTAATCAATAATATGCATTTGTGAGCCTGTTGAATTTGCCCATGTTTATTATTCAATTGTTGTCCTTCGCATATATTTATTATATAAAATGTGGTCCTTCGGTCATATTTATCATGCATATATATTCTATTACCTGGCTATAGGTATCAAATTATTGTAAATTTAATCACTACTGCATAATTTGTGGTCAAATGCGGCCCATTTTCAAAATAACAAAACTTGTGTTAAACTTTATTGTACAGCATTTTCCTGCTAGTAGTAATAATTTAATCCCAAAATGCAATGAAAAATTGTTGTGCTGTGTGAAAATTTGCTTTCAGTGAGAGGATTATATTTCTATCACGCGCTTTTGTGTCTGATGTAAAAAAAAAAGGGTTCGAATGTGACGTAAATGGGACGCAGTGTTATTTACTTTTACGATTGCCATGGCAACAGAATAGCTAGGATGTGTAATTCAAATTGTTTGCTCTAGTTCCAATGCATTTAATACAAATATTTTTCTCAGTAATGTGCAAGTATGAAATCTATATACTTCCACGTAATTGATGCTAGCTTGTCAATGTCGACTAGCTCTTAAAAGCTCTCTCTCTTGATGCTCTCGTACCGAGGATACGGTAGTAATGGAGGCTTTGAGGGTTTTGATTTTGCTGCAAAACTAGTATCAACAGATGGTGGCAAACAGTAGTTCTTGGATTGAGCCAGTGGTAATGTTCCAAACACGGGAAATGAAGTAATTTACAATTCAGTTTGTCTGCAAAATATCACTGTTAAGTTACCTACAACAATTGAACATATTATATAATGAATTTAATGAAATTCCATCATCTTTTTATGAACTCAAATCATTCATAGTTCGGAAGACTATAATATGATCTCATTTATATCACCTGATATTACAAAACTATTACAAAATACAGAAGCACCCTATAGTTCAATTCACTAAAGTATTCGGACTTGGGCAAAAATAAATTGTTAGTTTGCCGTTTATAAATCTCTATAAAGATTTCCATTGTTGTCAGTCTCTGCAATTAGTTATCGTGTTTCTCAGTATTCATTAGACAATTTTTTTCCACAGGCATGAAATACTACAAAGACAAGACAAAGTTATCATACTTGCACAGAGGATGTTGAATACACACCACGTGTACATGTATAACTGTGTTATACCCAATATAGTAATCTTCCTGGACTAAGTGAACCTTTGGGTTTGATAGTTCTGTGTTAAGAATATTCTTATGTGTGCCACTTTACTATGTTGTTTGTATGTTCAAGATTAAACTGTGTGTATTTTCATGGAACAATGTTCAAGCATTATATGTGGCATATAGTGTAACATTTTAACTGCGGCTTTGCAATACACTGGAATATACACAGGTGTGGTAAATGTATGTTGAATGGTTCGCCCATCGTTTATTATGTATATAAACATGTATACGAACATATAAGCATATATGTATATATGTATACAACTTCCTTGGATCTGTTGATACTACATGTATGTGCTATTTAAACCATGTATTCAATTATTGACAACAACAATAGTAAATCTATTCATCTATTTATATTGTTTGTGACGGAATTATTTCACGGTACATTCAAACCTAAAGCCCCATAGTTTGTATACTACTACTTGGTGACCACATCTTTTTATAAGCACACAGACGCGATTTGATTCTCTAAACAGAATATAATTGGCATTCACACTTGAAACAAACCTTCTAACTAATTATGATTTTATCACTCACTATCTAAGACCACCAACCCCTTACTATCTCCCGGACCTATTCCTTTACATATTTCGAAATTATTATTGTGCATGATAACGCAATAACTAGTACATATATTGTACATTCCAGTATTATACACTGTTTCTGAAAATAATACAAATTAACTTAAAACGTTTCTACTGCATGTTATTACAAACTGCCCTATATGAGGATTAGTATCGAGTCAGCTGTTGTAGTGTCCACAGAATATCAATTTACTTTATAAATAATTCAAAACAGTATGTATTGCCATTTACTTGGTTTGACAATTAATACTTATATATTTGGCAATTGATTCTGATGACATATATAATGTCCACGTCCATCATTTAGTGAGCATTTTATAGTGACAAATTTTATTCAGGGTTTAAATCATGTGGCTGTTATAAATGTTTGTTGAATATATAAATTTAAAGTTTAGTTTTTCTAGAAGCTGTAGAAAAGGTTATTTATAACCCTTAATAATGTAATCGAATTTTGTTTTATATTGCTTGTTTATTACTGAAAAACCCATGTCGTAGATTGTATACATGAACCCACTACAACCGAAACTACGTACTGTTGAATGTACTACGTTACATCTTTGGTTATCAGTGATTCCTTATTTGAGAAAACTAAACAGTTAATTATAAAATTGCTTATTGTTTTATTATAATGTGCCATTTCCTGTGGTTACACCCAATTTCAAAACATCTGATTTCTATTGATATGAAATGTTAACGTTTGTTTCCAGAAAACGCCTTTAAAACGTTATTCCAGGATTGTAAGCATTGATAATTATTCTTGAATAATATGCGTTCTGCACATTGTGATCGTTCTTTAGTTTGATTTTGCATACCTCTATAGTAACGGTAATGTATCGTCTTTTCTTATGGATTATGTCCAATGATGACGTCATCACACTGTGCGATTCGTAAATAGCCCAAAGCATCTACAAAAAACTCCCGGTGAGATATTCATTCAAACACTAAATCAAAACCGACTTTACGAATAGCTTCGGTCTTTGCCATGAAAAAGTTAATAACCATATCCTTTAATATGCAATTCGGGAAACCCTCTACTCTCTTAACTGGTATATCTCTTTTAAAAAGACAACCGCCATCTTCGTTTCTAGCATACTCAACTTCGCTCCAGCCATTTTTGCTTGTGTCTTCAGAGATTTTTCCTTTCATATTGGATATTACCCCAGCAACTAAGTCCAGTTCAGCTGTGCGTGATTCAAGTTTTACCACAAACCGTTCCAAGATGGTTTCATTGGTAAAAACAAAATCATCATCAACCATCAACAAGTAGTTTGTGCGCACCTGACTGACAACCAAATTTTTACCAGCAGCGTAACCGTCTAAGAAAGGCATTTGAAAATGTTTTACATTCTTTTCAGAATCATCTGCAACTATTATCGTCATGTTTGGATAGAACGTATTAATGCTTGATATAAGTCTCTTAACACATTCATATCTTTCAAATGTCTTGGCTACAACAGTTAATTTTCTACTGATGTCACCATCTAGTCTAGGGCCATACAATCTAGGCACTTGATTTCTCTAAATGAGAATTTTAATGACGATATGAAAATTAAGGATGGAAACGTCAATGTAATCTTTTTGTTTTATATGGTGTGTCTTACTCTTGTAAATTAAAGTGTGAAAGAGCACTATTCATATGGTCAATATTTTCTGTCTGCATTGAAACTCGACCATTATTATTGCCTTCTACATGCAGTGAATCTGTTATTGTGAAAGGCTCTACATAAATGTATCCTAATGAATGTCTGGAAGATAATATTATTCTCAAGTGCTTACTTGCTTTCAACACAGAGTCTACTTCAATACCAACAACACGAACGGAGCTTAGAGGCTCGACAGTTATTCCAGACCCCAAGTAACGTATAGTGCACATAGTGTCATTGGTTCAGCCATTTTGTTTTCTTGTTGTTCCCATTCTATATATTCCTTTTTCTGTCTGAAATGTTTTTATGTTTAAAGGCCCAATGGTTGGTTCCGGACATGAACATTTGCTGCCTTGTTGAAATTCCATTTTCTGTCTCAAATGTTCCATGTGTGTTTCAATTTTATTCCAAACTGCTACGTTCTCCGTTCTGCTAATCGTGATAATTTGTTTATTAGGTTTACTCGTAAAATTGAAAATGTTTGTGTCTTGTACATATAGTAACACAATTATCCCAGGGGCTTGTGGATATAATTTAATTTTTCCCAGTGATACTAGGATTTAACCAGCGCCACGGAGTTCTTTAAATTAGTGAATACAACAATTGCGGTCAGTCAGATAGCTGAATAGTATGTGCTATAGCACACAAACATCAAAAATCAAAAGATCCCGCTTCGTTTAAAATAAAAAATACGGTCAAGTGCGGAATTCCCCAAGGGTCCATCTTGAGTCCAATATTTGTTCTTATTTATATTAACGACACCAATAAAGCGACTGAAGCCTTTAAATTTCGACTGTTCGCTGACGATACATACCTGTTTAAATTCCTAACAAGTTGTGAAATGGTGCAATGCCAATAAACTTACAATTAATGTGCAAAAAACAAATTATATGATTTAGAAAACACCCCAGCATCATATTAATGTGGAAGGAAAAAATATATAGATGGTACATGGGTAGAGGGTGCTTCGGTTACAACATATTTGGGTGTAACCATCGACCCATCCCTGACATGGAAATCTCATATTGAGAAAATAAGTAAAATAATCAGTTCAAAAGTGGGTGTTATATCACGTATTCGACATTATGTGCCAAAATCTATTCTCCTCTTGTTATACAATAGTGGATTTCTCCCGCACCTAAAGTATTGTATTGAAATTTGGGGACGTACTTACCCCACTTTACTTGAGCCAATTCTACGTTTACAAAAAAAGCTTGTACGACTTATCACCTTCTCTTGTTTATATACGCACTCTGCACCTCTCTTTCGACAGCTTGGCATCGTTGACATTAACAAACTCTGCAAACTTCATACTTGTTTGTTCATATTTGACCTTAAGAATAATCGCTTTGCCCATGATATCAGTCATTATATTGATCAGCATTCCCATCGTTACCCAACAACAGTCATTTCCAGTGGAAAGTTGTCAGTCCCGAAAATGAATTTATCACTTTCCCAACATAACTTCACATATTCAGCGGTCAAATATTGGAATTCCCTTACTGTCCAAGTAAAAGGTTTACGCAATAGAAACCAATTTAAAACAGCACTGAACAAATTGCTCTTATCACAGTGAACATCCTGTCGTCCAAATGATGCATACCACTTACTGCTATTTTGTTTTAACTTAGATATTTAATTTACTCGTGTATTTTTCTGATTAAGTACTTATTCATTTATGTTACCATACCACTTTCTGTTCGTACTAGTTATTTATTTTAAGTGATAGGGCCATGAACTAGACTAGTTCTGCTGAACTATTTTCATGTTCCACACCAGAATTATTCACATTGTGTACATATTACCTTGTATATTAATTTTTCCTTTTTATATATCTCCATTATTGTATACATAATGTTCTGGCGAAATAAAAAAATCAATCAATCAACATGTCTTGTGTTCTTATATCTAGAGAAGGCGTATAATGATTTAATTATGTTACTATACCGTGCGTACCCATGGTTTAATGATTATGTTACTAGTCACCAACTGTTCATTGGTATTCATGTTTAGTTTGACACTCAAGTCATTGAAATGGTTATCATGTAAAGTGTGAGAGACGAATGTTTCATCTTTCCACAACTTTCATTTCGGAAAGTCTACCCACGGTTGAGAAAGCTAACTACTAAATAATCTGTACTTAACAACTTTGTATCTTTCTTTGCACAATTAGGTCCTTGTGGAAATCAGCTCTAGCTTTTCCGTATGCTTTCGTTCAAGCTTTCTTAAAAGTGTGCCAATATTAATACAGTAAAGAGTACATATATGATACAATTATTTGAAATTCAGCTTCTAACTTAGTCATCACCCACACTTGCTTATTAAATTAGTGTAAAATTGATCCACGCGTCTCTAACATTCAGTTTGTCTAAAAGATTGAGGTAGAGATTCAGGTTCGTGGGCACTTTTTTTTTTGCTTTTTATTATCCAAACAGTCTTGGCTATAGACTGTTAACATTTTGTAGAATTATGAATAGTGGAACATATTCAAAACACGATTTTTAAATGTAGAAATGGTGCAAACATTCTCTTTTGATTGCTTAGCAAGATTTAGCAAGGCCGTACATAAATAATAAAAAAGAAACATGGTGAAAATAAGAAATGACGGGATCTCCATATTATGCACTATATTTGACTTTTAACAAAACGATAATGCATTTAAATTTGGAACTGTTACAGTCATTTTAATTATGAGCATTAGCAAACTTCTCACTGAGTGAATTGTTATGCAAATTAGCAATTATCTCAGCTTCTTTTTAGTGCACATCCTAGAACTTAAATAATAGCGCCTAGACGCTTTGACCTTTTGTTTTTAAATTTTCACAAATGATTGACAATGTGTTTATCTTCAAAACGCCGTCGGTGCATTGTTTTTGGTCGAACAGGGTTACAACAATCGTACAGACAACTAGCCTGGGTGTTAATTTATGCATAAACTTGAAGTAGTGAAATTTGGGCTGCTGCCTTGCAAAATTGACAACTGGTAAACAGTTTTCAAGACGGCATCTTCTTCATAGTAAACAGATGTACCCATAAACCAATTTTGACAGAAAACAGAAGGATGGTTTAGGAGCTATTTTTTTTTAAATCACTTTTGACCAAAAATGCACATTTTTGTGCATATTTCGAACTAGACTGTCCATAAAAAAAATACTAAAAATTTTTAAAATTCATACAATAAGCTTTCCGAAAATATATAATTTTGTGGACAAGGGAGGTCATCTTGGTTTCCTAATTAACTAATTAAAATACATGTCAGGTAAACTGCATCTCTACCTTAAGAGAATAAGCAAAATTTTAAATAAATGATTGTATCAACATTTTTTCTGTTTTTCTTACAATACATTTTAATACCTTCAACTCCGATGTACCGCTTGGTGGAGGCTTTACCAAATATTTTGCAAAAGCTGCAGCTGCAGAAGTTTGTTAGAGAGTATTAAGCATGTACGACTAATATATTTAAACCTAACCAACCAACCAACTATAATATAAACATGGGCTTGGCTATGATTATTGTTAGTTATAAAAATAAAGATACTAATAATTATTGAAAATGTCAGAAAATGTGATATCTTAAATTAGAATGTGGGTGACTTTACCAAATCTGATGGTGTGTCAAGTGGTTTTGCATACATGTTTGTTCGGCTTTTTTCCATAAATTAAGCATGATCTTAAACAGCTAAAGTGCTGTGTACTGGCAAAATTACAAATTTGTCTGTAGGATTTGAGTACGAAAGAAATGCAACCAGACGCTACTGATTACCGGTGTAGAACTACTTTATTTCACCTATGATCCTGATACATGATATTCGAATGCAAGTAGATTTGAACAATAGAGGGCGCTATGTCATCATGATGCTATGATGAGTATATGAACATTACATTGATCGCCACATCTATAAAACTCATAATCAATATGATGGAACGGGCCTCTTAAAACAATATAACATGAAGGAGAAAAACAACCAGTTTGACAATTTTGCATAGAGTTGCATTAGAACAAATTATTTGTATATTACGTTGGTGTGTATTTTACTAAATGATTATATTTATTAGTTTATGTTGATATAAGTGCGCCACCTTATGGTGAGGTGACTGCAAGCTCGTATCTACAATCTAAGCTATCACCTCAATGATAAAAGCATAGCATACCATGGTGTAAATGTGTGTATGGCAAAATCAATATTTAGGTAAGTCATTGAGAAAGTCACAAGTGTATATGAATCGCCACACATATGAAATAACTGTGACCAGAATATGAATCATGTTTAATATATAAAAAACTAAAACAATGAGTATGAAATGTATTATGGCAACTTGTTAAAAATTGTATTTTCAGAGTCCGGGGATGCCATTTTTTGTGCAAAATAGACTATTATATATAATAATTTAATAGATATAAGTTCTTCCGAATCTAATCGCAGACTCCCGATAATTGAAACCAAGCTTACCCCTCTAACAATGTTCAAGAAAGTGGCTAGATACTGATAAAATGTAAAAGGTATCATGGAAAATTCTGAATCTAATGTAGTGAAAATAAAATTAAAGCACGATGAATAAATGGCAAAAGAGATATTTTAGGCAAGTGGTTAAATTATCCACAATCTCTTAACACGTATATGTTCTGATTAATGACTTAAATTTGTAAATGCACAATATTTCTACTACAGGTAGAAGAGGGAGACCATGAAAACAAGTTATATTGAGGAAGGGGGAAATTAACTTTTATGTCACAGATTTCTGTTAAACAGAGTAAAAGATGTGTTCCGGTGTTCCGGCACGTGATTTAGGTTCTTTTATATCAGGTTCTACATATAGTAATATATATTGAAGTTTCATAAATGAAACAAATATAGGTATAAGCAGACAGCTGGTTTGATATATTCAGTTTATATAAATGGATAGTAAACAAAAAAGATTAAAAGTTCTAGATCTGACATTGCAACAGGCATTGTAATCAAAACCATTATTGTTCTGGTATATCAACCACATATGATAATGCAACAAACCTATTCATACTCGAATGCTACCTATGTAGTACCTTCTTCTTGTTTTTTGAAAGTTTTTTTTTTGGTTTTATAAATTCATTGTTCAGCCAGTCAGTTCGTCTGAATTTAGTATTTCTTTATGTGATATACAATAGATTTATTTATCGCGTTATTATGCGATGTAGATTTAGCTATATGTAAAGTTGTGAATTATAGATATTATATATCTCCTCCTCTGGATATACATATTAAATTTGACTAAATTACACATTTTTTTATAGAATTTACAATACACATGGTTGTTAATTGTTTCCTTTGCCTTATATTCTTATGAGTGTTTGCCCCACTGAGAATTATTTAATGTTTGTTCTGAATTTCTCCCACTGCCGGTGTGGAGACCACGCCTGTTGCCAACTCCCCTGAGCACCTCGCATGGCCCAGACTGTGTCAGTTCTGTCCCATGCCTTCCGTTGGGGGAACTGATACCCCATCTGGGCTACACGATCCGTTGACGGGTCCCTGGTGTGGGATACACATTCAGTATCACAGCCTTCTTAACTGGTTCCCCATCCTGATCCCGGTACTCATACCTTTGTTAAGGCGGGTTGTGCGGATCGGGAAGGCCATGTTGCATGGTCATTTGACCAATGGGGACGGACCAGCAGGATGTAGCCAGCCTTCAGGAGAAAAGGGTGATACACCTAGTGGAGAACCTCCATTTAGTTCCAGGGTCCTATTCCCACATCTTTCTCATTCCCAAGGGTTTGGGTTGCGTCCAGTCCTAGATCGCAGTCGGCTGAGTGGATGGAAACACCAGCTTCGATACTTCTATCAGTAAACTCAGACGATTAGCTGGCGTCACTGGATTTTACG